AACTTTAAATCATCAATGACCAGTATTGTGTTTAGGTTTGATTTCCAAGTTGTGTAGTTGTCGCCGTTTAATTTCTCAGAAGCGAGTAATTGTACTATTGAGTTTGTCATGCTGTGATATAAAGAAAATTCTATTAGTGATTTGACTTAATCCTGTTTAATCCAATCAGTTTTAGCAAATGTAATAATGTACCCAAATCATTATTAATTTGCAACGATACTTTAGTGAGTTAGAGCAACTGCTACCGAGGGGCAGTCAATCACTCATTCACTAAACCAAGACATTCTTGACTTAAACACTAATTCCAGAATAACTCTTGTTCCTATAGTGTTTTAGTTATCGCTATTTTGGTCAAGAATATACTAACTCTTAGTAATTCTTCGCAAGTGTGACCCACCAATTTCAGACCTCAGAAATCGGTCCCAACAACGCTATCGAATGAAAAAGCCAAAGTTGGGAATGGACTTAAGAAATCCTATCCATTTCTGGAGTTTGCGTTGTTCCGACTCCCATGTTACGACCCTCCGAATGGGTAGTTGCTCTAGGGCAACATGCAGGCGGAACATGGGAATCTCACGGTGCAACCTAGTGGTGGAGACCATAGGACGTGTTGACTTCCTTCTCCCACTTACTATAAATACTTTCTCAATTCACCTTGTTATTGACTCATGCAAATACCTTCCGAATGGAGGACGCTCCCAGGGCGACACGAGGCCGAGCATGAATCTCACTGTGTGAATTTTACAGAGAGCGTGAAGAGAAAACGATGTATCTTATACACCTTTTTCCTCCCACTAAGTATTTTAGATGGTTGGGTATACTCTTTACTTAAGTATATTCCGGCTAATTAAATATAACTTAAGTCTAGGTGATTTTTCTAAATCTTACATCACTTAAGCATGCTCATAAAACTGGGCTAACTAAGCTCAAGTACTGGTCCGATCTCCAGGTAGTGGGTGTTCCGTAAACCGTCAACTTAAGTACCTTCAGCCTTAGACAAGATCGTGCCAGGTGAGCTTTCTTGTAACCGCAATTTTATGAGACATCGACCCTTTTTAACTGTTAAAATTGATCGTGCTCGGTTCTTAACCCTTAGTGAGCATGCACTTATCTTTATTATAGATTTTAACATCTACCTGATTTTATGACGTTGAAAATAACCTATAAGATGCTTTATATAACAATTTATATAATCATCCATTCCATGCAATAATATAACAATTATATCTATCACTCATGCAACCCTAAGACATGCATACTATACATTATAACACTTATAACATACTTGGAATGCATGAAACATGCTTAGCCTATGGTGGGATTTTAAATCTATATGACATACTTTATGCATATACATTTTCTATTTAATTAAAACATACATTCATAATGCATAATTAATTAAACACACTAAAGTGGGTTGGTTTTGGCATTTTAAAGCAAGCAATTAACTAAATTATTACATTAATAATTAAAAATAACTTGAGCCGCTCCCGAGGATCACGAACTGGACAAACCAACCCTTAAAAATGTTCAATCGGTCCCCAACGACAGAAAAGACACCCGAACCGCCTCTTCCATCTTCTTCGGTTCAGCTTGCTTATCTCTTCCATTTTCGATCAATTACAACCTAAAATGGACTCAAAAGACTCCATAAAAATTACAGACCTTTCTTCATTCATTAAAGCCCATACACCTTAGGCTTATTACAATAATTGTATCAAATGGAAGCATAAAAAAAATGCCAAAACCAAAACCATCCACTTTAGCAACCACAAATTTCATGCATGAAATGGTACCCACCATGATCAAATTAATGTAAATAAAGTGCCTAAAACTTGCTCTGATACCAATTGATGGTGTTAATATAACACATGCGGAAGCAATTTGGATCTTAGGCACTTTTAGAACATCAATTATTGTAAATCACTAGCATGTTCATAAGTATTAAAACTTAATGAGTTTAAATACTAACCTTTTGTAGTTCAAACTCCTTTTGCCTCACGAACCGGTTTCGAACCACCACTAGTGTCTTCTCCACTATCCTCCGGCCTTAGAACGGGATTGTGGAATCCAGTGAGTGACTAAACTTGGGAGGGATTTTGTATATGTGAAAGAGAGTGTTTGTGAGAAGTTTTTCTCAAGGTTTTTCATCAAGATGAAGAATCCCCTCCAAGTATCATGATCACTCTATTTAAAGAGTCAAGTTTGCATGTTCATGCAAACTTGAGATCACCAAATTTTGACACTTAAAATTCCACTCAAGAGTTTGGGATTATGTGGCAAGCATGCATGTTTGAGTTAACCAAATTTTGACACTCAAAATTCCACTCAAACTTGTGGGGTTTATTTGGCAAACATGCAAGTTTGGTTAAACCAAATTTTGACACCTCAAAATTCCACTAACATGGATTTTTCCATGAGATGAAAGTCAACATTTTGACTTTCTTCATTTTAATTCAACAATTAATTTGAATAATGAATTTCAAATTAAAGTAACATTAAATGATTAATTAAACTATTTAATTAATATTTAATATTAATTCAAATGCCAATCCCAATCAATTCCGACACATAATTGATTAAGATATTTAAATCTTATTTAAATATCTCACATTCTCTCTTTTCGTTTAATTCGTAAATAAAACAAAATTGCGGTTAAATATATCGTATATATGTAACGCATATTCCCTAATTTGAATTCGAACACTTCGAACTCACTCGTCACACTGTTCTATGGTTTAGTCCGATATGAGCTAGCAGAGGGACCTAATGGACCTATAGATCATGGGCTCCAACGATCCAAGATTAATCGATTAAACTCATTAACCTGGTTAACCAACATTCGTTAACTACTAGGACACTCCACTATAGCCTAGTAGTTGCACTCCCCTCACTATAGATATATTTCTGTCCATCTGATATAACCATGATTAGTAAGTCGATCCTTCACAGGTTGTTCGTAACTAGAGCTGGGTCAATTTACCGTTTTACCCCTGAAGTTACTTCTTGTTCCTTATGTCTCACTGATCCTCTAATGAACAATTGGTTTGTGGTCCAACCAGTAAACCAAATCCCTCTCAGGCCAATGAGAGGGTGGGGCCCCTTGTTCAAGACCTGGAGTCAGTGCTTAAGGGAACTACCTTTCTTCTATCCCTAAGTGGGTAGGAGTGAATTCCGTCTTGCACCCCACATCCCCAGCCATTCACCCAGTCTTACCCCTGAAATGGGAGGCTTGTTGAGTCGGCGAACTAGAGCCACTCTCACCCATGCAAATCTAAGGATAATTCCGAATAAACAGGAGTTCATGGTTAGCTCAGGATTAAAACCGAGTTACCTAGGTTATCGAATGAAAAGAAAATCAGTCTCAACAGTAAACGACTTTATAAAGTGAGAGTGGTTTTCTTCATGGTCCGATCTTATGCAATACTCATTGCATAGGACGCCCCCACTCACATGTCTCCACATGCACAATTTAGTGATCACATTGTTTATATCATATACAAAAGTGGGCCGCATCCATAGTGTCCCCAGAATAAGGTACTCAGCCTTATCCTTATACTATAGATCATTTTGACTATATACTTGAACTTGATCCACTCTTATGTCTCTACATATAGTTCAAGTAATCATACTATAGCCAGAGTGTTCTTAGTTTATTGGATTTAGATTAATGATCGTAAAGTTCACTTTATTCAATAACAATTTTTACTGAATAAACATCAATAATAACTTTATTGAAAATAGAATATATCTTTGTTTACAAACTATGAGTTTTAGGACATAAAACCCAACAGATGCAACATGACACTCATCATCATATAGCATGCTCAATATGGAAAACATCATCGTATTAAGGTAAACGTCACACAATCATCACACTCATCATATTGCCATAAAGTGCATCAAGCATATCAAGTACGTCATTCATCGAAATATATATATACTACACACATCATCAAGTATCATAACTCACACATCATCATACACTCATACATCATCATACACCAGTATACAATATCATACGATACAACTCATACATCATTATATACCAGTATACGATATCATACGATACAACTCGTACATCATCATAACTCATATATGGTCACATACTAACATACGACATTGTACAAAACAGTTCATACATCATCATAATTCATACAATTTTTAGTTTATCCTATAGTAAGGTCATTTTATTGATGCTTAAGTTGTTGTCACAAATTTATTCTTAGTGAAAGTTTGATTATGTCATTTGAAATCCAAGTCACTCTACATGTGAGTTCATGACATTAGGTTCAAGTTCGAATTTCTATAGAATTATTTCTTAAATTTACATTGGTCCATGTAGTAAATATTATGCGAACATTAGAAGCTTTGCATGAATATAGTCTTAAATGTTTATTATAATTTCATTTTCATGTGGTGCATTTAAAAACTCTTTAACATCTACCATATATTTTCTTTCCTAGTAGGTGTGTTTCCCTTATCTTTTTATTTTAATTATGCTCACAATAAATTACACAGATAATCAATTCCATATCTGTATTTATTTTTTTCTCGGCTCTGTATTTATTTATTTTTTTGTTGACAGATATTACCCTCATTGATTTTAGTTATTTCCTATAACCTAACATACTAACTAAAATCTAAATAACTGGGCAGAGAATAAGACATCTGATTTTAAATAATTAGATAAAGGAGAAGGAAATCTGATTATGACGTGATTTCTTGTAACACGATTGAATAGATAAAAAAAGATATATGAAATATGACTTACAATAATAACAAATCAAGATCTTTCCGATTAAATCTCCCGCTCTACCTGTAAAGCTGTGATTTGGGATTTTGAGTGAGGAGTTGGTTGAGGAGAGATAGAGAGGAAGGAGGGTAAGTGGCCAGTAGTTTAGGAAAAATTATTATTTTTTATTATTTAATTATTAATTATTATTATTCCTTTTTTGTATGAACCTTAAATAAATAAAACAACTTGACATCTCAGCCAGAAACTTTAATATATCATGATAAGTGTGGGTTCAATGAAGAAAAAGTCACCCAATCATTTTATGACATTCCCACCATATGATAGGATTAAAAGCACTCAGTTGTTAGTGCAATGGTAGGAGCAATAACAAAGGTAGGTAAAAGGAACGGGAGGGGCAGCCACGCACTGAGATGTTGATCCAGGATGCTTTTCTAGACACTTCTGCTTGCAGTCTTCAGGCAGGCATCCTTCATACAACTTATCAACACAATCTACTGAAAGGGCTGCTTGAGGTACCATGAACGCCACTGCAAAAATTTGATAAACAATATATAAAAAAAAAAAAAAAAAAAAAAAAAAAAAAAAAAAAAAA